TGTTCTTTTATTTCTGTGGGTGGTATCCATCGGGTCTGTGTCATCCTCATATCCGATGTTGGACTACAACAAAGCTGAGATGTTTGTAGGAGCTGCAATGTGTGTTAGCAGTCTTGCAATATCTTCTTTTTGCTACGCTAAAATCGTTTGGAAAATTCGTCAACATCAGCGACGCGTGCAAACAAATGGGGGAATTAATAATCACGGAACTCTTTGTACAGACAGCGTGGCTTTGAATAATGCACGGTACAAGAAAAAAGTTTCTAGTGTGCTTTGGATTCAGCTGACACTGACTATTTGCTACTTGCCGCTCATCGTAACTGTTGGCTTAGTTTCCTACAAAGGGCCAACATCGGTGCTCGACGCCGCGTGGGGAATAGCGATAACCTTGGTGTTTCTCAATTCATCTTTAAACCCCTTTCTTTATTGTTGGAAGATTAACGAGATAAGAGCAGCAGTTAAGGGCATGGTAAGTCGGTTGTTTCCTTTTTAAAGGGAGCTTTAGAGTTAGAGTATTTTTACATTTCTTTAATAAACATCTACAACGAACGGATGCACATTAAATTGATAAAGATCTTCTTTTAAATTCCCATAATCCACTCGATCAGCAATAATGCTTAGTTATCTTTTGAACCGAGACGTGGAGACTGGTAGGGAATATTAATTTCGTTGCGTTCATTATCGTGACAGCGACAACGAAAGAATCAATGACCATAGAGATTGTAATTGATGATTTAAGGTTAAAAGGTTTTTATGATCAATGGGAAAGAGTTTGTATGGCCTTGCCGTGTTCACGCGTAATTTTAAATTCTAGTTTGAACGGGTTACATCGTTAATATCCTTGAGGCCGAATGTGTAAGCCATGCGAAACTCGTTTAGCTCTGACATCATCATCGGTAAACGTGATTAGAATTAGGTTAATAACAGTGCGTTAATAATATTTTTGTTTGATAAAGCACCGGCTGAAAAAATATATTGTTTTGCATTTTCTTTTTCGAAAGTAATAATTTTGTTTTAACGCTTACGGTGTGATAACTTCACCATCTATTGCTTGCATCCGAAGACGAGAGTGGAAGTTTTTTTCAACACATTTTACTTGATAAAGGAGGCTGAAATGATTCAGGCTTGAACAGGATTGGTGGCCCTACCTCCCAGATTCTTGTTCGGCGCTACTACAA